CCCCCCTGGGCTACCTACAGGATTCGGAATGTTGAAATTCCACTGTCCACAAACAGCCTATTTCATACAATGGGATAGATTGTACGTGGGATGTCCAGATCTCAGCTTCTGGACACAGTAGAGAGCCCAAACCTGCGTGTGTGTGCTAGTCTGGACATATCCTGTCCAGGGGGTGAATTTGGTGAAGTTTGGAGAAACTTGAAAATTTGACCAAAAAAAGCTCAAAGGGGTAACCCTTAGAGATTTTTTTGGTCAGATTTTCAAGTTTCTCCAATCTTCTTCAAATTCACAGCATGGACAGGGCATGTCCAGATTAGAGCAGGAAGGCAGGTTTGGGCTCTCTGTTGTGTCCAGAAGCTGAGATCTGGACATCCCATGTACAATCTATTCCATTCATAAAAATAGGTGGTTGCTGGACAGTGGAATTTTGAGGTTTTGACAGCAGGGGGCAACTCAGGGGGATGTGGGGATCCACCTCCAATGGTTTTTTTTGTGGATCTGTTGAAGTTTGACCACTTGGTTGGGTGAATCTCATAAAACATCCCACGTGTAACTTATTTGAGTGGGCCCAGATAGGTTGTTTGTGGACAGAGCTTTTTTAGGTCACAGAAGTCTTTTGGTGAGCTCTGACATGGAAAAAACTGCTGAGTGGGGGCTCCTGACCCCTCTGCTCCCCCTAATGAACCTCAAAATTGTTCCTGCTGGGAATGATGACCTTTTACTGGGGTGTCCACAAACAGCCTACCTAGGCCTGTTCAAATAAGCTACAGGTGGGATGGCCGTAGACAGCCTAATAAGCTACAGTTGGGATGCCCTCAGACAGCCTAGTGAGATGTCCACGGACAGCATGATAAGCTACAGTTGGGATGTCCACAGACAGCCTAATAAGTTACAGGTGGGATGGCCGTAGACAGCCTAATAAGCTCCAGATAGGATGTCCACAGACAGCCTAGTGGGATGTCCACAGACAGCCTAATAAGCTACAGGTGGGATGTCCACAGACAGCCTAATAAGCTACAGATGGGATGTCCACAGACAGTCTAGTGGGATGTCCACAGACAGCCTAATAAGCTACAGGTGGGATGTCCACAGACAGCCTAATAAGCCACAGATGGGATGTCCACAGACAGTCTAATAAGCTACAGGTGGGATGTCCACAGACAGTCTAGTGGGATGTCCACAGACAGCCTAATAAGCTACAGGTGGGATGTCCACAGACAGCCTAATAAGCTACAGGTGGGATGTCCACAGACAACCTAGTGGGATGTCCACAGGCAGCCTAATAAGCTACAGGTGGGATGTCCACAGACAGCCTAATAAGCTACAGGTGGGATGTCCACAGACAGCCTAATAAGCTACAGGTGGGATATCCACAGAGAGCCTAATAAGCTACAGGTGGGATGTCCACAGACATCCTAATAAGATACTGGTTTATTGAATAATCTACGACTGCATTGTTCCTGGCAACTTTGGCGTTCTGAGGGCTTCAGTGGTTGATCGTGGGCACGTTGGCATCCAGGGGGACTTGTAGGTCGTTACTTGGCATTTAGATGTTCAGGGGGACAGATAGGTCGTTCCTGGCCACTTAGGTGTTCAGGGGGATGGATAGGCTGTTCGTGGCCACATAGGTGTTCAGAGAGACAGATGGGTATTTCCCAACATTTAGGTGTTCAGGGGGACAGATAGGCTTTTTGTGGCCACGTTGGTGTTCAGAGGGACAGATTGGTCATTTCTGGCCATTTAGCTGTTCAGGGGAACAGATAGGCTGTTTGTGGCCACATAGGTGTTCAGGGGGACAAATAGGCTGTTCATGGCCACATTGGTGTTCAGAGAGATAGATGGGTTGTTCCCACAATTTAGGTTTTCAGGTGGACAGATAGGCTGTTTGTGGCCACATAGGTGTTCATGGGGACAGACAGGCTGTTTGTGGCCACATAGGTGTTCAGGGGGACAGATAGGCTGTTCGTGGCCACATTGGTGTTCAGAGATGTATGGGTTGTTCCCACAATTTAGGTGTTCAGGGGGCAGAAAGGCTGTTCGTGGCCTCATAGGTGTTCAGGGGGACAAATAGGCTGTTCATGGTCACATTGGTGTTCAGAGGGACAGATAGGCTGTTTGTGGCCACATAGGTGTTCAGGGGGACAGATAGGCTGTTTGTGGCCACATAGGTGTTCAGAGAGACAGATGGATTTTTCCAACAATTTAGGTGTTCAAGGGGACAGATAGGCTGTTTGTGGCCACATAGGTGTTCAGAGAGACAGATGGATTTTTCCAACAATTTAGGTATTCAGGGGGACAGACAGGCTGTTCGTGTCCACATTGGTGTTTAGAGAGATGTATGGGTTGTTCCCACAATTTAGGTGTTCAGGGGGACAGATAGGCTGTTTGTGGCCATATAGGTGTTCAGGGGGACAGATAACCTGTTTGTGGCCACATAAGTGTTCATGGGGACAGACAGGCTGTTTGTGGCCACATAGGTGTTCAGGGGGACAGATAGGCT